GTCAGGATCTTGGAATAGCAATATTGACCCAACTCTGATAATCATTTTTGGCTGATATGCCAACACCCGGAATGTATTGCTACCATATCCCCAGTAATAATCCTCAAGCATGGTAACAACATCCTTCTTTCTGTTCACTCAGTCTCTGGTGCCCTGGCTCGGTGAAAGTGCGATGCGTGTATCCAGCGATTTCATCCTGTCGCTCAGATGGTACAGTCAGTAGTTAGTGGCACTTGATATGGTCCCTCCCAGCAGGATTGCAACGTCTGGCAGGGTATCTCTTCTTCACCTACACCCACTCGCCAGGTATCCGGTCGTGTCTCCCCTCTACTAGAGGTCCCTAAGCATCCAGCATCTGTTCACGAGCCCTGTGCTCCACTTCAGTTAACAAACCTACAATACTATAATAGAGAGTAAATTCAACATTCTGTTAGCCAAACTTGCCCTCCAGGGAGTTTCCTTGGCTGCCTGTGATGATCTCAAATGGGCTCAGTCTCACAGTTCCATTTGCTCCAGCCCGCAAACTGCACAGGATCGCAGGTAAAGCATCTACCCACGGTGTTCCTTTGGTTTCCTTAGTTTGATTTCCTTATTTGGTCTTTCAGACTGTGGGTGATGGGGGCAATGTAACTTCCACCTCACCCCTAGTGAGGCGATTACAGCCTGGCACACCTTCCCAGTGTAGTATGCCCCTAGATCAGTATCCAAGGGGCAGGGCAGACCACATCACGGGATCATCTTTGCCATACTCCTGTGTATCCGCTAGCATGAATTTCTGGCTACAAGATGTCATTGGGCTGTGAGAACATTGAGGTCATCTGGTGTGCTGACGGGCCCACCCCATCATCATACAACACCACATTCTTTTCAAATTTTTTCCTAACCACATCTATCAGAGGCTTCAACCTAAATTCTCCCTTTTCCCCAATAGAGGTTTCACAGGGGTCTCAGACTCCTGCTCTCCCAGTGCCGCTCGTCTGGCATCTGCATCTGCTCAGTTGTTACCTTGAGTTACCAGAATTGTTTATTTATTGTGTTATTTGCACCTTACTGCAGCTACTTCAGTTGGCAGAGACCAGAGACCAGCCTAGTATTCTTAACTGTAGTCCCTGCCGTTGTGAGAGAATCCTATTTCTCCATAGCCATCCAGAATTGTGGCCTACCTGCAACAAATACATTATATACATATACAGTAACCCTTTAACATCTTTCTTTTTACAATCTACCATCAGGGCTCTAAACTGGCTTGCTGCGCTGAGGCAGTGGAGGGGCATTTTTCAGATCATTAGCACCTCGAATTCTGTTGTAACAGCTCAGCCTGTTCTCTGTTCTCCCTCATGCATCAGAGGACCCATCAGTAAACAGTATTACATTTTCTTAAATTTTTACAGTCCCCCACCTTTTGGCAACAGCATCTAATGGTATAATAGTGCCTACCTCCATGCTCCTGCAACAGCACAGCTGCCCAGAACCCCTTTTCCACACTTACATACAAAGGAATGGTTGATCCATCTGAGGAAACCCCAGTCTCAGCACCTGTAA